TATTATTATTATTATTATTATTATTATTATTATTATTATTATTTTCTTGCTTTTAAAATATATTTGTGGCATATTATACTAGGTCTCTAAATTGCTAAAACCATAACTTACAAATTTAAACCAGAGCTACTGTATCTGTCGTATGTGACTATGGAAATGGAATGATATGACTAAATTTACTATATTAAAAAATATTCTGGGAATTGTTAGTAAATTGTGTGTGTGTGTGTTTGTGTATGTGTGTGTTTACTCTGTGTGTATGTATGTGTGTGTGTATGTGTGTGTGTGTGTGTGTATGTATGTGTGTGTGCGTGTGTGTGTGTGTATATATACTAATTCACTGACAAAACAACATTGCTTAAGATTCCTTGGTGAGGGTCATCAAGTTCATATGTAATTATTATTAAATACAGACACAATGTAATACTAGCTTTCCAATTACAGTTAATATACTAGGAATACAACGTTTTATTGCATGGGTATTCAAACAGAAGAAAAAATCAAGAAAATATATTCAACTTACTATGCTGAAAACGAGGAGGATTGTCATTAACATCAGTGAGGTTAATAGTTACTGTTGTTGTTCCTGAAGCTCCACCAGTTTGTTCAACTGTAGCTTTGATAACAACAAAATACCTATCCTGAGTTTCTCTGTCCCCTGGGTAAGCTGTTCTGACCACTCCTAAAAAGTATAGAAGAAACAGAGAACAGCCATTGTTACAAATAATAAACCAAGAGAGTGACCTGGATAATTCTTTTATGTTAGATTTACAAAAGAGGTTTGTTAAAGTTCAGATGAATCTTGTGCAAAGAGGTAAAAAAGAAATGAAAAGAAATCAAGTTCTATGACATTACTTGAATGGAATAAAGATTAAGTATGTTAGAAGTAAAAGGAAGGAATATAAGGTTGGTTTATTTGATCAAGGTTAAAATAGATATGTTGTTATTTCTGACAACCCTGACACCAGGACTGAAATGACAATGCTTTATGGATTTGTTTATAGATAAGAGATGGGGCATGGGATGAAGAGATCATTGGTTAGAAATTAAGAGGAGGTGAAAAATTACTAAAATTGTTTATACTTGTTGTGATGAAGGTTGGAAGTCACTTATTTATATATATTATTTTTCTTTACTATTTTCTTTCTTTCTTTCTTTCTTTCTTTCTTTCTTTCTTTCTTTCTTTCTTTCTTTC